CTGAGGGACGTGTGAAGGAAAACGATGACAGACACTCATGCATCCTTCACAAGGGATTTTCATTATGTGTTGAGAGAGACTGGGCAAGAAAGACGATAGAGTAAGAGCTTCATCTCCATCTGCTCAGCGATGTGAACAAAGGAGAGCAGAACAAAACACACTCACACACTGATACCACGTTACCCAGCATGCCACTGTACGAGTTTCTGTATTTTTCTGGAAATTATCTTTGGACACAAATCTGATCGTTATCTGTATGTAGGCCGTGTCTGCTCGGTGAAGTGTTTTCTCAGATAGCGTAATGTTTATTCTAGGTCCAATATCTCCGCACTCAGCGTTGGATTACAATTATTGTCGTGAGCTAAATATGGGTCAGAATATCAAGCCAAAAGAGAAACTCTAAAAAATAAATAGGAGTAACCAGAACCAGTTTCTGCGTAAGATTCATCCTCAGGAAAACAGGATTCGTCGAGTCGAGTTGTTGTTGCCTAAACTTGAGGAACATTGAAGTTATTGTTGGGTATAAATTAACTTATAATAATAATTATACAGATATGTGAAGATGTTGACACTTCATTTTGAGGAGATCATGAATCATGAAGCCGCAACTACCAGTACAACCTGCTAATGGAGCGAGAGGAAAAGTGGGGACCATGAATATCTGCGCCAAATTTAGATTCAAGCGGTGCAGCAGATGTTTCACCTGATAATAGTGCCAGAGGGAAAGTCAGGCGATGGAGGACAAGTGAATCAGTAAGATTCATCCTCTGGGGACCATGAATATCATAACAGCAAATGTATTGATCATCCAGTAGTTGTCAAGATATTTTCCCTCTGAATGACAAACATGAACTTTATGGTGGAGCTAGAGGGAAAATCAGGCATCACCCAATTCAGTAGAATTCTTCATGTGGGGAACAAGAACATTTGTACTTGTTATGCCTGTGAATTAAATCGTTGCCGAGACATTTTTGATCAAATTACTCGACCGATTGATAAACAGGATGTTAGCATCCCGAGAGACGTTCTGCTGCTAGTGTGGATGAAATAACAGAAACACTGTGACTCTTTGAAATCGTTCTGCTTTTTCTCTCATCTTACGAGGCTGGAAGACTAACACCTGTTATCCACTCCAGCAAATATGCAAACAATGACCTCAAGTTCCAAATAACTGCATATTTTACAATGAATTTATGATCTGTGTGAAAGCGTTTGTATATACGCGTTACATAACTGTTTAGAATCCAGGCAGGGAGTTAATTTTGGAAAGCAAAATCAAAAAAATGTGACTGGTTTCTGAAACTTGATCCATAATTCTTCGCATTCTGAACATTCCCTCCGAAAGTGCAATGAGTGACAGAGCCCCCGACTCTCTTTGATTTCAAACTCAGGTTAAGTAAAGTAGAGGAAGAGCAGAAGAAAAGCTGCAGATGCTCGTCATCCTCCCGCTCTGTCAGAAAAGCATTTTTTTGAACATCTCAGAGATGTAATGCCTTTCAGTGTTTATTGTGCTGCAGGCGGGGGGTTGGGTTGCGTGGGGCTGAGAGCAGGATTACAGGCGGACAGAGTGCTGAGAGATACCTGCACAGATTCCCATAATCTGCTCTCTGAGAAGTGTGTCATCCCGGCTCACGCAGATGTGATGACAAATCAAATTCAACCACAGAGGAGAATCACTGGAGTTTGCCAGACGCCGGTCCAGACTTTTTCTCGCTCATCTTTCCTTCCCCACTCCTCAAGTTAACCTCCCCGACAGGTTTCCTGTGGGTCTCTGTCTCACCATCTGACTCCCGGTGACCTTTTCCAGGCAAATCCTAAGTTTGACTCATCCAGCCGGGGTAATTAATCCCCTCTGGTTGGGCTGCAGCAAGGTTTCGTAAGATGCTTTGGCACCGCTGGGAGCGTACGCTGGAAAACAAGGTGTGTGGAGGTAGAGTAGGGCGTTGGTCAGACGTCAGAAGCCGAGGCCAGTCGGCCCCTCCCAGATGTTCCATGTACAGAGTCCTATTGTTCGGCTCCTGAGCTCGAGAATTCCTGTCGAGTCGAGGAGATTCCTTGCTGTGTAATGTGCTATTATGTTAGAGTTTGCTCTATTCAATAGACTAATGACTATGCCAAAAGTTAATGTCTCCGGGGAGTTCCACTGCTCAAACGGTAAATGCCATTGTTTTGGGTCCCGGGCCCGTCTGCATCGTGTTAACCTCTTCAGTGTGGAGGTACGGTGAGGCATCGATGCCTCGGCACAGCTGAAAGTTTCATGAAGCCACGGCTGACTCTGGCATTTTATGATTTCAAGATAAGGGTCGCAGTGCCAAGTCAGAGAAGCAAACATGCGGCAGGCGTTCTGATAAAGTGAATCAGATAAGAGTCTGGAGTCGCTGTTGGAAAGAGCTGCAGTGATGGTTCTCAGAATGAATGTGGTAGAAATATTCATCAAGTACTGTAGTGAAAGCTGCTGTCACTTTACTGAAGCATTTACATGTAATCTCACTTTTATTCTGGAGATATTCTGCTTTTTACTCAACTACATTTCTGGACATTTTCAGATTCAGATTTTACATTCAAAGTATACGATGCCCAAAGTCCCAAACAGTATTTAAACATGTTCTGATCAGCTCAGTTTCAATTAACTGTGACATACGAATGCTGTTTACTGCTGCTTATTACAACCTTTAATACTTGAACAGACATCCAGGATAGTGTCCTCTCTGTTAAATATTAAAGAAAGGACAAAAAGAAATCCTGCTTCAAACCTTTTATCTGGATCCACTCCAAAACTTTACACCTGGTTAAAAGCAATGAAACAATAAAAACAGTAAAATAAAGGGTTAAAACAAACAAAAGTCAATATAAATATATAAATATTTCATTCAATTCAATTCACTCAAAAAACATCATATTTCCTTGTTATGTAGTTTTGCACTTACCACTTTAACTTATGTAAAGAATCTGAATACATGTTCCTCCTCCACACATTGATCTTAAACATTATGTCATAGTTCTGAGAAAGACATGTACGTAAAAGGAAAAATACTTTTTAATGGGAAAGACTCACTGTTGGTGTTCAGTTATACTTGTTATGTAACATCTTTATTTACAAATCAAATGCTGTGTGGAGCATTATGACATTTTCTTTTCAACATTTCCCTTTAAAATCCCAAGAAAAAGTAATCGGACAAACACTCTCCCCATTGTCTTCAGCCTGTATCTGCAGTCCTGAGCGTCTCCTGCGGCAGACGGGTCCCTAAATTGTTTTGCAAACAAAACGAGGGTCCGTCTGTGAAATATGACATCAGTTTTATTGTGGTCGGACTCTGCACGCAGGAGGACGCAGCAGCATTTCTCACAATGAGCCCCGGGCACCGATTTGTTTGCTAAATGGGCAGGAGAGATAAGACTTTAAAACCAATTTGCATTGGCTTGTTCTGCACAGCCAGTTCAAGCAGCTCAGTGATGAGTGATGTGGGAGCGAGTGTTCCGTGCACCAGTGTTTGAACTGAACACACACAACTTGTATGTGATTTAAATGCTAAAAGTGAGTCACCAAAGGGATGCATTAACAAATCTGGGTGTATGCTTTTGCAGTCCATGTGAAATCCATTTTTAAAACCGATGTGCAGGTCTCTCCGTTCGTGCTATGTTGTGATTTTCATGATACGAGGTTTGAAAGCAGAGGTATTAGCCTGATGAGTGATTTACTGAAGTGAAATGCGGTTGATTTATTAGCAGAGATGAAATTATGTAAACCACGAATGTGCCGGGAGGTTTGTGTTCATGTGTGGATAGAAACAGATGCAACAGCTCTGAGGGTACAGCAGCGGTTGGGTGCTGCAGTCTCTATCTGCAGTTAATTGTTGGAGGTGAGCGGAGAGGCCGGGTCAGGTAGATAACAGAATAACATACGTGTGACTCATGATTTCATGGATTTTGCTGAGTCACTTGAACATCTCGGGCTGGAAGGATAATTGTGAAGTGTTTGGAAACAAAGCAGATCATTACAGGGCTGAAAAACAAACGACGTGCTCGCTGGATGCGTCTTTGAAATCCAAGGCGCTGAGGGAAAACTTTAAATCTCCCCTCAGCTGATGTAGAAATTGCAGTGTACACACTGGCCCTGGCACAGAGATGAAAGTGCAGCGTTAGCAGGGTTTTACTGCTCTCTGCCTCGGTGTCTTACACATCAACACTTTGCGGTTGTCACATCTGAGTCTGTCTCTTTCTTTATCCACGTCTTTGTCTCACTTTGTTGTTCTTTCACTTTTACTTCTTGCCTTTTTTTTTTTCCACCAATACTTCAAACCCTCACACTGCTTTTGTCACACCTCGTTGTATAAAGCTCTTTTTTTAGTGTTTAGTGTTCTTTTAGTTTTTTTGCCGAGAGAGCTCAAAGCACTGAAATTGAGAAAACAACATGCAAATAAAGAAACACGCTGCAAATTGCAAACAGAAAATGTTTCCAGGGGACAAAAGTAATGAACCTGGCTGTAGTTCAACGCTTTGACGAGCAGCAGACTTCAAATGCATCACATAATAAGGTGGAAGTGCAGGGGTTCAGCATTTTCGACTCTCAGGAAGAAGAATCCAGAATAAGTGCTGCAATGAATAGAGAACAAATCTCCACCGAGGTCCAACATTCACCTTAAGAAACCAAATTCAAATTCACCAGGTCTGGATCTGCACCATAGTGCACACACTCAGATATCAGTCCTCTAAACAAAACTGTTTTTTTTTCATCAAGATCCATTAATTATTATTTTGAGGAATTAAAGTAAAATGTGAGGAAAGATTTGCTATTTCATAATTTTAAAAAAAGAAATCAGCAACAAAAGCTGTGGCTTCTTCTCTGTTTCATCTCCCCACAAAATGTAATGGGAATAGTCAAATTAGTTTTTTTATTATCTTGCTAAAAACTAAAAACACAACCATAATGATAAAGAATGGATGGATAATAATAATAATAATAAAGGAGTTGAGCAGTTGCTTTTAAATACTGTGTAAAATATTTTATTAACATTCAGCCACAATATGGCAACTTGAACAAAACATTTCATAGAAATAAACCAAACGTGATGGATCAGTGTCCATCAAACGACAACACGTATAAAGAATAAATAAATAAAACATGGCACTTACATAGTTTCATTATTTTACATCATAAATTACGACAAAGACGTTTGTGATAACATCAGTGAGAGAAACAGCCGGCAGCTACTGTGCCTACGGTGACGTGTGTCCTCGACCTGATACGCAAAACGCAGTAAATAAATTCAGTCAGTGAGAAAATGTGTAAAGAACGAACACGTCTGAATGTTTGTCATGTTGAAATAAGCAGAACCGCCTGGTCAGTACACTGCAGGGAGGTTTATTCTCCGTGACAGAGGGATTCGTGTTCAATCCCTCCAGTGAAGTCAAGTCTTTGAAATGATGTTTGACTGAGCGTCCGTGTGAAGACCAACGAGCGTCCTGGATTCCACAGACTCTGTCCAGCTCGTGTCCTTTCACCTGAACTCCCTGTGTTGCCTCTGACCTCGTTCATCTGTCTGATGAAGCCGAGTGTGTAAAACGCTCTCTGCTGTGCCGCAGACGCCCCCTGACCCCGCAGCTGTGAGGTCGACATGGAGATAGTTCACCGGCTCTCCAGTGCCCTCCCGAGGGGCCCCTGCTTGCAGATGGCTGAAGAGAAGGGCCCGTGGTTGCGAAACCCATTTCCCCCTCCGAGTTACAAGGTGTGGAGATGATGCGTCTTCTTTAGGAGGCCGTGCTCTCGCCCTCCCATGCCCTCGCCCTGTGGCGCCGTCTCACTCTCCACTCCTCCAGCAGCAGGCGGGTTTTCAAGGCGACCCTGAGCGCTGCGGGCGACACCTGTTTCTTGTTGCTCTTTTTCCACCTGCGGACAAAGACAGAAAACAATCATTGACACCTGAACCATCCGTCTGATCTTGTGTTAAAAACCTGCTGTCACTCTGTCACCCCCACGCCCCTCGATAAGCCATGTGTCATGCAGACCTCTGTGAGTGGCTGGAGCAGATTGGTGTTCATGTTTCCAATTAATATGTGTCAGAAAGTGCAGACTTTTGGCGCCGCAGACTTTCAGAGGTTGGAGTTTGAAACATGATGGTACACGAGAGCAGCTGTGGTAGAGACCAGCTCCATTACCCCACATAACTCACAGATGAGTGAGGGAAGGTTACGCTGCTGATCGTATATGTTTTGTGGATTTCACTGAGGTGCTCTGTCATTGCAATTTATAGAGAATTCATTTGCTTGAGATTTAATCTCAAAATGTACGCCTCTGAAACACGTGTCGGCTTTTTTTTTTACGCTCAGAGAGATGATGAGCGGGGTCACAGGCTGGAGCTGAAAACACATCCGTGTTGCTGGAGCTTGTAATGATCATGTCCATTTATTTTGCAAATAAACTTTGAGGCTTACGCTGCCTCCTCCTCCTCCTCCTGAGAAGTTGTCTTACCTCTTAATCGTGCTCTTGTCAGCTTCCAGCTGGTGTTCGGAGAGGATCAAGGTGTCCTGCGACTTCTGAGACCTGAACACACAGAATCACAGTGAGATCAGATGTCAGAGACATGACGCAGGAGGACAGAGTCTCAAACACTGAACACGAGACGAGTGTCTCTGTTGTTGTGAGGAGTAAAGTTTTATTACCTGAGATGCTGGTTGTCCGGGCGACAGAAGCTGCTGCACGTGCTGTCGTTCTCACGCACGCACCGGCAGCGAGGCGCGCTCTTGGTTGCCATGGAGTCCGGCAGCGCGCGCCTCGTCCTCGGAGCGTTGCCCAGTCCGTAAGAGACCACGCGCCTGCAGAGAAAAGTTCCGGTCAATCAGAGGAAATTCACGCGCAAAGAAAACGTTCATAAATAAACAATAATCAAAAAAGAGCGTATGAATGAAGGCGATGCGTTTCCTTCTTTTACTCTTGGAACTTTTAAATCTATCAAAGTGATAACGCGGCAAACTTCTTTTTTCATCGTTTACTTTTACTCTGAGAAACATTTCATCTTTCTCTTTCGCATCTTTTTCCACTTTAAACCATGTTTCATCGCAGAAAAGATTCGGTTCTGTATTCCCTCATGTGCACAATGACTTACTCAGGTGTGTTGACCCAGATGATGTCCAGGTGGCAGAAGTACACGCACTCCTTGTCCATGAAAGTGGCGCAGGAGCAGCGCTTGTTGCGCACATGTCTCACCCGGGAGTCGCTGCTGGAGTCGCTGGGTGTCTCCCCGACAGGAGCCGAGAGGACTGTAAAGAAATTAATAAATCATCAATCACTGTTGTCGAAACACTGCAGAACTATTAGCTGTGGGTCTAATGGGTGTTGAAGGTGCAAAACTGAAGTGCAGCTTTCAAATTACGCACAGAGACGAAGGATTCTCGTTTAAAATGCGCAATGGTTTGGTGACAAGTAATTAATTCGTTGCTTAAAGAGTTTAAACCTTAATCGAGTCACTTCTTTTTTGTGCTCAGAATAAATTATTGAAATGGTTTTTGTATTGCTGTTGGAAAATAATGCGCCAAACGTACCTGTGCACAGACTCGAGGAGAACATCACTGATAACACGGAAATCAAAATGTATGTATCCATCTTCACGACAGTTGCTGATGATGATAAAAAATAATCCTGCAGAGTTGGAAAAATTATCATCCGGGCACCGTCCTCAGAGCAGCAGTGTCTCGTCAGTGTGGCCCCACATGTGGAGCAAACCTTTGACTTTATACCAAGCGCTCCCCTCCTCCTCCTCGTCGTCCTCCTCCTCCTCCTCCTCCTCCTACAATAACACTCCTGTCTTCTGGCTCGGACCCAGACTCCGCCGTTTGTTTGGCCGCTGATAAGCAGCCACGTCGAGGACTTTGAGATGCCTGTGTGGTTGGAGGTTGGAGGATGAGGCTGATTAAATGCGTCCTGTGCCACATTCTCGCAGGACTGTCTGCAGGGTGTGCTGTTTCACTCAGTCAACAACAGGTGGCAGCAAAGTCCAAAGATTCCTCACTCTGCAGTTGTCAGGTATGAAAAATGTCAGCAAACATGGAAAAATATAAATATTAAGAGTTGTTGCTGTTTCACTCGAAACATTAAAGTAGACATGAGTCAAAGTTTAAAAAGTAAAACAATAGCTGTGCCGATGCTCGAGCTTGTAATGAAAGGCAAAAATAAACGTAAGAAAAGAAACAATAACTGTAAAGTATTATATACAAGAAAAATCAGAATCAGAACTAAATAAGACACTGGATACTAAATAAAAATAAGAGTTTATTTATTTGTCACCAACTATAACTCATTAGAGTGTCATCATCTAAAATATGTCTTCATCAGTTAATTAATCCAAACATCTGTTTACGTTCACCTATAGACAATTTACTTAATTCAACGTCTGCATACGGTTTATAAATGTTAAATACTTAAAGTAAAGCATCACCCAGTTTTTCTTTTTTTGATTAAAAAAAAAAAATTGAAATTGTCATTAGACCATAACATCCCAACTTAGTTTCTGCCTTTAATTTAGTCTTTTTAAAATATTAGTATCATAATTTGACAGACATTTATTTTCATTTTCTTTAACATTGTCAGACCAGACGTTTGTTTTACATTTTTGTCATTTTCCCAGAGAATAGTTTTTGGATCTTGATGAAAGAAATCGCACAAATTTAGGGAACTGGTATCTATGAGCGTGTACAACTTGGTGAGTCTTGGTTGAATCTAAGGGGACTTGGTGATAGTTCTAGTAGCTTGTGTTTTTCTTATGAGGACTTCTCCTCAGCTCTTATCTGTTGTGTCACTTGTTGTATGTTTGGGATATAAGAGAAGCAGCTTTCAATCCTCTTTATGAGAACAAAGTTGACTGTGACATCAAACACATAGAACTGATAAAGAAATACATTTCAAATCTTTATGACTGAAAGTTAGACCAGTTTTTTATACAACTCTGCTGAAGACAAAGCTGTTCACAGGCTGAAGAGGATTTTGCCCTTTGCAATGATCCTGACAGAAGAACAGAGTTTAAATGAGAAACCAAAGTTTAAAGCACCTCAGTTGTTGTCATGTTGCAGAGTTAAAACTTAGAGCGGAGCACTGATCGTTACATAACCAAACATCTTAATCTGTTGTCCTCTTTTAAACAAACCTTTCATCAGATAACGTTTGTGTATAAAACCTGATAGTGCTTTGTCTGACATCGTCCCCCTGGTGAATAGACGGTCCTGGCGCTCCACAGCTGCTGTCTCTTATTCATTGATGGACGATTACTGGAGGTAGTTTCCCTCCACCATCAATTGTAATAAACTGTGGAAACAGAGCGCCGCTTCATTTCCCTAAATCACATACTCGGAGACAGTGTGCCGCAGTAGGCCCCTGTGGAAAATTGACCTTGTGTGTGTGTGTGTGTGTATGCGTGTGCAAAGTGGAAAAGTCTTACGGGGAAGCATCCTGACGTGCTGAAGCTCTGAGGCCGCTAATCAGAGGCCGGTTTACAGAGTTTCTACTGGTCAGGGAAACAGATTGTGCCACAGTGAGGAGGAGGTTTTAATTCAGGACAGGGTAGAAAACAAGTGGAGGAGCACTGGACTCTTTAGCTTTAGCGTTGTGTTTAGAATCTGTGAGTGGCTGGTGCCTGGAGGTCGTGTAAGATCAGAGATTTGCTGCTGCATTTTTGTTTGTCTTCTATGCACTTACAAGGGTTGGCCTCTAGGTGTCTCTGTTTGCTTTGCTACAGACTCCCCTTCTGGAGGAGGAGGAGGAGGAGGAAGAGATGGATGAGTCACCTTCTGAACGGGGTGGTCCTCTGAGAGCTCTTTACTCACTCTTTGTGGTGGGTGCAAAAAAACAAATCAAATCCTTTTTTAATCAAGTGCCACTCGTTTGGTAGCAAATGGGGATTTTATTTTCTAATGAAGTGTTGTCGTTGTGACGACGAGAGAGCGTCGCAAGGTCGTCTCCCGAGGATTGAATAGAAATGATTTATGTGGTGAAGTGCTAAGTGAACCCTGAATGAGCAAACAACATTATTTTCTCATCTTGTAAAAGAAACCTATGATATCACAACTCTTCCTTCTGATGAGGTCCATACAACATGGAAGCACAAATGTTAAGTTATGTAAAGGAGGTGAATTCCTACCAGTTGAGACAATGGCTCCATCCACAGCTGACATCTCCAACTAACACAGTTTACAATTTATTTAAAAGTTATGTTTCCGTTTCCATTCCAATATTTTTTTCATTATATTCTTTGCAAGAGAGGCTGTTTTATTTTTTGGCATTTTGCTAATTTCCTAGAGATCTCGATGACAAAAATCTGGCACATTTAAGGAGACGGATTTCTGTGTAAAATTAGGGAAGGTATAAACAGATTTTCATGAAACTTGGAGGATGGATGTGTTCTGAGTCAGAGAAGAACCCATTACATTCTGATGCAGATCCCAGAGGACTGATAATTATGTGTGGGATTTGTTGCAGATCCAAATAAAAATCCAGATCTAGTGAATTTCAATGTGGTTTCGTAAGGGGCTTGGACAGAGGTAAGGTTTCATAACAAATTGAGCTGGAAACCCGTAACTACCACGGATGAATTGCAGAGATCATGTGGATTCACTAGAGAATCAACAGTTTATATGAATCGTCAATAGTTTTAGAACGACTTCCAAACAAACATGATTGACTCGGTGCAGTTTAAGGCGATGTGCGAGCTCCACTCTAGATATGAACAACCTTAAAAACCGTTGTGATGTTTCTAATGTGAAACTTTCAAAATACAGTGACACCACTTTATTGTTTGTAAACAAATTTTTACTGATACAGTTAAGAATATTGATACAGAAATGTAAAGCTACTATAATGCACATACCTATGGACTTATGAATCATAATGGGCACTAGATGGATTATAATAAATAGTTGAACACAACATCTGTACACAGAAACATTGCCCCATAATCCATAGAAATGTACATATACCAGTACAACATTTATAATTCCATATATTTACGAGTGACATCCTCCAAAATAAAATTGATATTCTCCATCGTTATGCCTTTTTTCACTTCTATATTTTTGAAATAAACACAAGCAACTACTGAATTTATGATGAATTATGTACAGGTTCCTAAACAAGAAACTCCATAAAGGCACAATTGTCTATACAACATGTACAAAAAAAAGAAAATGTGTGGAGCTGACAAAAAAAAAAACAGTAAAAATAAAACGATTGGTCATCATAATAATTATCATGTGATTGCACATACAATATGAATGTCAGCATCTGTGCTTTGAAAGGTGATTTGTCAAGAAACAAACCCCTGAAAAGTGTTTTCAGTCTTACAAAGTGACGAGAATTACAAAAAGAGAACAAGAAGAGCGTTTCCACTTGGGTTTTTTTCAGGTGGCAATGACAAGTCTGTCTTCGTCATCACTGGACACCTCATTATAGTCATCAATTACCTTCTGCCAGCTGGTCACTGGCGGTGGTCGTGGAGGTGCAGGATCACTAGCGCCCTCAACTGGTGACTCCTTAGCACTGTCTGCTCTGCTCTCAGGAGCAGGCGACAGAGGCTGCTGTGGAGATTTCTCCCTTTCTTCCCTCTCGACAGTCTGTACCAGCTCCGCTCTGCTGATGCCTCCGGGGCTCGCCCTGCTGCCTGCGGTCAGTCCCGGGGAGCTGCTGACCTTCACGGGGGCGGGTGGTGAGGTGGTCATGCAGCTCCGCAAAGAACTAAGCCCGTGTTCATTTTGAGATGACTGTGCTCCCGGAGCTTCGGGGCTGCTTTGCCTCTCAGAGGATCCGGGGAGAGGACTGAGAGTAGAGAGCGGGCTGAGAGAAGGAATGATGGCAGGCAGGGCGATGTTAACTATCTGCAGACCTGGGACATGTGTCTGGGGGCCGGTGCTGCTTTGGGAGGAGGGGTTGGCAGCTAAAACCTGCAGCCCGAGGGTGGCGTTGAGCGTAAGCCCTTGCTGGGGCAGCAGCTGGGTGGTTGTCAGGCCTGCGCTGGTCAGCCCCATGAGGTTAAGTGTCTCCAGACCCACTGGTTGTATTGTTTGAGCCTGCAGGCCAGCGACCTGCCCAAGGGGGAAGCAGGGGACAACGCTGCTGATTGGCTCCTGGACCACGAGCGGTTGGGTCTGCAAGCCCTCCGGTTGGGGTGGAGTGTGGGGAGCTGGTAACGGACTTGTGTTCCTGTGAATGACGCTCATTGCTGGGAAGGTGAGCTGGACGGGGCCCGTCTGGAGCGGTACGAAGGCGGAGTAAGCTGCCAGGCCTGCGGGCACCAGCTGGATCCCCCCGATTGGGACCATGCTGTAAGAGGAGCGAGACGGCTGCTGGGAGTGCAGGGGCAGGTGACTGAACAGGTGGGTCTGGGTCTCTGTTCCTAGTGTTTGGCAAAGACCCTGCGGCGGAAAGAGGGCAGGGCCATGAGACGCGTAGGAGGACGTCTGAGTGCTCCGGTCCACTGGTATGCCCGGGTATGTGGTCACTGCAGCAGGAGGGGTAGCGGAGGTGTCCTTTAAAAAGAGAAAAAGGGATAATTCAATCTTATTTCTAGACTCAACTGTGGCACAAAAGATGTAAAGAGAATAAAATACAATAGGGCTGACACTTAGTGTTCACACGCAGTCAGTCTTTTGTGCCTTATACGCTGCTGCTAACAGGTTAGCCCAACTTTGTTTTCACTGAAGAGTAAACAGGCTGCTTTGCACAAAGATTTTTTGGGTAATTTAAAGTCTGCGGTGTAGAACACAAAACACGTCCACTCGCCGCTTCTCAGATGCTTTGGAAACAACGTAACATTCCTGGCGCACTTTACCAATATGTCAAACTGATTATAAGCTGATTAAAATTCAAATACAAAGGTTCCCCCCTCCCCGCCTTCGGAATGAATGTTTTTCAATAAAAAGTGGCAGCCCTAAGATATTGGATCAATGCACTAATCAGAACCAATCAGACTATTCACCTTGTTGCAGAGCATTGACAGGAGCTTTGTGCAAGTGCCTCGCATGCAGGATTCAAAGGGAATGTGTAGGAAAGAAGGGAGGCAGGCAGAGAGGGGTGGAGGGACACACAATGAGAATACATGGCTCTCACCTGGCCTAGCATGGAGCCCTTTCCTGCCACTGGGGGACTAGGGGGCACGTCAAAGTCGGGGTAGTCGATGGACATCTGCCTGCATGGTGACACTGGGCTCATCATGTGCACTGACTCTGTGTCTGAGGTGTAGGACTCTGATGTAGTGGCAACAGGCGGAGGTGAGTAAGGGAGGGGCAGTGAGCTGCAGCAGGACCCAGAGATGGAGATCTGCTTGCTGAGGGACACAGGGCTCATCATGGGGACGGACTCTGAGTCTGATGTGTGGGATTCAGGGGCTGGAGGCAGGGACAGAGGGAGGGACACTGAGCTGATGGACATCTGGGCAAGGAGGGCGCTAGGAGGGACCTCAGCCTCCTTGGAAGGGATGTGCTGCGGGCTGGCGGAGACAGACGGGTTGGTGGACAGGCCAGACTCCGCCTGGCTGTCCTCCTCTTCCTCCTCGTCGTTCTCCTCATCGTCTGGGCCGTCGGAGTCATCGCCGTCTGAGTCTTGACGGTCAGCACTGCTCACCTGACTGCGATCTCCTGCAGATGAGAAAATAAGTCAGATGGAAGAGTGTGACCACTTTCATCTATTTTGGTTTCATTCAGTGAGGAAATCCAGCACTAAAAATCCAGCTGAGTGTTCTGTGCAGCTGCAGTAACAGCGTTTAACACCCTGGACCGACACACACCCCGGAGCTCCATCACAGACAGAGGAGGAAAAACAAATATGCTCTTAGAGACTGGGACTATAGAACGCTTTCAGGCAGCTTCTCTCTCTCGATTTTTTTTTTCTAAAATTAGACGCTGCAATTTCCTCTTTCTAAATGCTGTGAATGCTGCCCACATGTGCTTTGAGTTAACAGAGGAAGAAGCTGCATTTAGAATTTTTTAATTAGACCGTGGCAAAGCTATTGATCGACATAGCAACAGAGCACAAGCAGGAACAATCTTGTCTTTTGTAGTGTCATTAACAGGAAAACTATTTCAAGAAGGGGAACTCTTGTTGTTTGACACCAAAGCAGATGCAGTAAATAAGATGTATGTGTATTAAGTCACTTTTATGAATAAAAACAATGATGAGCCATCCTTCTTTATTTACCTGAATCCTCTGCGTCCAGATCCTCAATGAGACCCTCAGGGACCCCCATCTCCATGCACTTCTTACTGTGGGCCTTGGATTTCATGTGCTTGGTCAGATTTCCTGCAGAAACAGAGGCAGTGAGGTCTTGCAGGTGGGTAGAGCTCGAACAATAGCACAGGAGGTTTTTATGTAAGAGAATGCGGTCGCTGGGCAAGCTGCATGTAAAGGGTGAGTAACTGATGAAGACATTTTTAAATGAACGTGGGCTGCTCTGACACCAAGTGCTGTTCTGCAGTGTCGCGTGGGAAGGCAAGTTCGATAAAGAACGGTGAATCATCCTGTCTTGGTTGAAGAGATGGTTAAACAACGTATTTAATTTCATAACTTCTAAAAGGACTAAGTGAACTGCAGCAGATCAAGTCCATGAAAATTATATAGTAAAAGCAAATTGTTTGGTTTGATTGGTGTTTGCAAATATGATTTTCTAAAAACTCTGGTACCATTTTCAGCATGGTGTAAAGTATGTGTGTGTTAACACATCTAGAAATTTAGAACCACATGAAATGCAGAATATTAAAATAACAGGTAACTGTTTTGAAAAAAAATCTACTGATGGTATTATATTTTTCAAAATTAAGTTTCTTCTGTTTCTGAAAGGCACCTTTATTAAATATGCCCTAAAGCACTGGAACAATTTGCCCGAAAGTCATACTGGCTCTAAATATATTTTCTTTTTCAAAAAAAACCTTAAGACACATTTTTTCCATCATTCTTCTCCTGATGTGTTTTCACGAAATGACTTTTTCAATTCAATTCAATTCTGTCTAATCCTGCTGTTTTCATTTTTGTTGTATTTATTTAATAATCTGTTTTTGTTTGCTTTTGTCCTAACCTGCATTTTATGTTCAATTTCAAATAAATGTTCTTGTTTTATTGTTATATGATAAATGTAAATGTAAAATAACATCCATCATATGACAAAATGAGTAGTGGCTTCGCATCTAAAGCTGTGAACACTGATCGTGTTCTGTGTTCTAACCTTTTGTCTTGAAGGAGAAGTTGCAGTGGACACAGTGGTACGGCCGGACATCAGAGTGGGTGCGGATGTGTTTGCGCAGCATGCTGGGCTTTTTACAGCGGATCCCACATTCCTCACAGATGTATTTACCACGTCCGCGCCCACGTACGTAAACATACTCTTCATTAGACTTGTATCTGTGGGGTTGCAATTGAGCCAAGAGACATTTAAGATAGAACAGAAATATATAAAACTGAGCAAATATAATAGAAAATGTAAACATTGCTTTGAAACATACCCGCCGTCAAATATTTTGACCCGTCTTGGCTCCGTTTTAGGCACCAAGTCTTTGTCTGAGTCGTTGCTGGTTTGATTTTCTGGTTGCACTTTACCTCTGGGTGACACGGACCTCTGGGTTATTGGCACCTGCAGCAAGAAGTACATGATGCATTCATTGATCTGATCTCAAAAAATCAAGCATAAGATGTTTATAAACATTGAGAAATGTGGCTCTTACCCTGGGCATGATGTCTTTCAGCTTGGCAGAGTAAGACAGGGAATCTGATTTTCCGCTGGTTCTTATGGCCGAGGTGTAGTGTATTTTCTTGGAGCTCTGCTTGGAGTCAAACAGCGACATGACCACCTTCGTGGGCAACCCGAGTGGGTTAGGGTTATTTGAGCTGACAGTCCAGGCTGCGTATGCTGATGTCTTCAGGTCAGTCTGCGGAACATGGAGAGGTTTCCTCTTCATTAAGAAACACCATGTGAATGTGGTGGCAGTCTTCAGGCTTGGGAAAGACAGGCGGTGACTGTCCTTCGTGTTGACCACAGACACAGATGTGGTCAGTTTCACCTGACTCCCATGGAAACTGGAAGGTTTAATAGGACATTTAGCAGGGGTCCACCTCTGATCCTCAGCTTTCTCTTGGAGCCTCAGTGTATCATTAGCTGGAGTGCAGATGACCTGGCTACCAGGCGTAGCATTCACGGCAGCGACTGCCTCATGAATAACTGTGCTTGTGTCTTTGTCCAGCCCGGTACTGTCAGGTGACATAGGTTTGACGTCATCAGTAGCCTCTGAGTCCTTCACCCCATCTGTTTTAATCTGGGGCAGGGGTGGAGCCTCAGTTTCAATGGGACTGTCCACTGGTTCCGTTGTGCAAACCTGCCTCACGAGTGTAAACTTCCGCTGCCGGGTTACCTCAGACATCTTGGAATTAAGATAATTCACAGATCTGCCATCAGTGAGACAGGCCACACCGTGCTCATCCTTAGCCCGTTTTTGGTGCTTTTCCATGTAGATGTCCAAGCTGTTGGCAGGCGACAGCATTCGTTTACTTGAAGCAGTAGGTTCCTGCTGAGGGCATAGAGTTACTGATGCTAATTTCTGTGTGCAATGTAGAGGCCCAAGAGAAGGAGCTCGTTCTCCGATGTGGTTGTGAGTGTTAATGGTTTCAGTTTGAATCCTTGTATCCTTCTTTGCCGTTGGTACAGCATGAGTATCGCTGTCTACACTGTGTGTGGATGAGAGGCTATTTTTACTGGACACAGAGGGAGCAGGGTGCATCTGCTCATGAGTGATCAGGATCTGTGGCAGTGGTATAGCACCAGCTTGGGTCTGATCAAACGGGTTTCTTTGCTGTTTACCCGACAAAACTACAGTTTGCGTCTTAATCTCAGAGGCCTGTTGATTGGGTTGAGTAACATATACATTTTGGATTACATCTGTTGATTTTGAAATACTCAAAATCGGATTGGCAATTGGTATCGTTAAAACTGGCAAGGCTATCTGAGTGCTCTGTGTGCTGGAGAATGAAAATGTTTGGCTTGCTCTCAGAGCGGGACACTGCAGTTGGTATTTCGGCACAAAAGATTTCTTTTCTTCAGAATCAGCCGGTTTGTTTTGGAGATTCTCGTGACAAACTAAGATCTGGCTCAGCGGCGGTTGTACCTTTTGGCATACTTGAACCCTTGATGTTTGATGCCAAGGGTGTGGAAGGCCATGGACTTGAGGCTGTTGAGTTGGGCTTCCCAAATGAATGCTTTGCACTATTTGTTCATTATTTTGTAACGGTGGTTCACCACTATGAAGGATAAAAGGCTGAGCCATAGGGCGCCTATTGGCAATGTGAATCTGCTGGGATCTATTCTGTGTTAAAGAGCTAACATTTGTCATTAGAGGTTTATCTAGAGGTATAACTGCTTTGCGAACAGGTTGCTGAGTCTCTGGGCCTATCTTTAATGACATCTGGCGAACTAAAGGCCCCCGCCTCCTTTCAATAAGTGGAACCTGGGCAACGTGGGAGATATTTCCACCTCTTGGCTGGCCAACGGGTGACAGAGATCTGCTGGGAGATACATTGCCACAGTCAAAAGACTTGCTGCGATAGTCACATGAAATCTCCACAGAGGGTTGAGTACAAGTGATCTGTTCAGATGCAGCACGCCTCATCATTCCAGGAACACCGAGAGTATTGAAGGCTGTTGGCAAACCTTGAGGTTCAGGAATTTTGCCAACACACTCCCCTCTAGATGGACTCTCTGACCTAGATGTTTCATCTCTGTCAAAAGACGCTGAGATGCTGGAACAACGAGAGAGACTACTGTCCCTGCTGAGGCTTCGTGAGAGGCTGGACTCAAAACTGGATTCACCTGAGGACTGGTCCATTTGAGCAAGACGAATTCTTTTCTTTTTCGGCGGCAGTTTCTCTGCTGGTACCTTTGACAAACTCTCACTTCTCTGAGGCCAGTTGAATTGATCTGCAGGTTTATCTGCTGGTTCAGATATTTGTGTCTCATGTTCTCTGTCAGGCTCCTCTGTGACCAAAATCTCAGGAACTTGAATGTTATTTTGACGAACCAAACGCGACTGATGAACAGGAGTGGAATTTTCGCCAACTGGTGCTCCTGTGCAATCAGTGCATTGCTCCTTCATTTGTTTTCCATAGTCAGTACTCTTGGGTTTGGATATTTCTTCATGGTAGCCGTCAGCTGAGACATTTGCTATTGCATCTATTTTGAGTTTGTTCGGGGGATCTTTCTCCATAATATCAACAGGAGAGGCCCTGTCAATAGATTCTGTTTCAAACGAATTGGGTCTGCTGAGAGAGTTGGTGTGTCTGATGACTGACGTACCACTGCCTTGCCTTTGCAGATCTCCTTTAGTGGAAGTGCTGATCTGGGTCTCTCGTATTGGGGACAGTCTGGAATCTGAAGTATTTATACCTCTTGCTATGAGCTGAATCTGAGGTAGCTTTGGCTGATTGTTTTTGGGCTGTATGTCTATTACAGCATGCTGAGAAAAAGTCCGACTTGCCAGAGCTGCAGGTGGCTCAAAAGTTACAGAACAAGGTGGAATGGTGTCAGTTGGAGATTGATCATCCTCATCTCCGACACTTTTCATTTTCCTTCTTTTTCTAATAGATGTCTGTTGATCAAGTATTCCTGGAACACCAGGGATACTTGATCTGGGTACTAAAGGCTGCTGTATGTTAACGTGAAAAACATCTTGATCTGTTTCTTTAACAGCATGTGGCTTGTTTTTTGGGCCGTGAAGCTCAGAGCAATAGAACTTCTTGTGAGTTTCAAAATTCTCTAACTTTCGGTACCGGTTACGACAGGTTTCACACTCATACATTGTGCCTTTATTCTGTAGAGGCTTTCTGTTTCTGTCCTGGTTATGCTCAAAAGATCTGCTTCTTGGCATCACTTCAGTGGAACTGCTTGGACCGTGATAGCCCTCATCCATGGAGCGAACTGTAGGGAGGCCATGTCCTTCACTTGTGGAAAAGTCTTCCACAGCGGATTGTCTGACTAATGTACGAGAATGTATTGCTGGATTTGGGGTTGACGGGGCTGACGAAAAGACATCATCATTCAACGAACTAATTTTTTCATCAAATGATTGACAGATTCGCAAAGGGTGGGGGAGGGGAGCAACATTAAGAGGAAGAGCAGAGTGTCCAGGTGTCGTAGGCATAGAGTTACTCCTCGTAATTGGCAAACAATCCATTGGTGGGTATTGAGAAGGTACAGAGAGAAGAAATACTGGCTTAGATTTATCTGTGGGGGTGAATGGGGACTTGGGGATATCTGAACTGGAGCTCGACCTTCTTCCCATCGGTTTAAGATCAAACTGAAAAGAGTCTTTAAATATGTATGATTTTGGGGAGTCTATACTTCCTCTCCTTGAGAGAGACGTCCTCCTTGGCTTTACACTGTCCAGCTGTTTGTTGTCAACTACTGCCTCATTATCAGATATTAATTTTGAAATCCGTTCCTCCAGAGAAAGTGCTTTGGCTTCTAACGGTGGACGCATCTGTCCAACTGTGGCCCGTGGCTTTTGCTCAGCTGCTACATGCATTACTGTGGCAACCACAGGGGGGAGATTTGGAGGAGTATTCTTGGCAATGTCAATATCTACCGGTGGAGTTATCTTTACGAAAGGACTGGGTGGACTCATGGCCTGGTCAGCACTTTCAGAGCGTGAGAAATACCCAGAATCTGTACTTCCCAGACTGCGGGGGCTCAGTAGAAACTTAGCTTGTTGCTGTTGAGAAAAGTCTGTTGCTTGCTGCCTCTGAAGCTGAGCGTGTCCACCTAATAGTGGAGACTTGCACTGCTGGTCTTCATCTTCACTCACAGTATCTAGTGAAAGATTTGCACCGTCCACCTCTTTCAGAGATGACAGGACTGTGATGCTTGATCTCAGGTTGGCAGTCTGGAAGTCTCTTTGCCGTTGTGCAGCAGCTTGCTCAGGTGCAGCACCTGCAACTCTTGGACTGTCTGCCCTCAGAGGGGAGACATTAACTGGATATACAACAACTTTTGGAAGTGCAGCTGTCACTTTGGACTCATGAGCCCTCTGGCCATGTGCTTGTTTGACAGAGTCAAACACAGCTGGTAAATCGACTTCCCCTTGGCTTGCTTGGTTTGTACCTGCGTTCTGTAAACTGTTTTCAGACAAAGCTGCCACAAAGCCCTGCGATGAGTCAGGGTCCAAGTCTGCAGTGCTACTATCCTCATCACTGTCACCACTCTCCTCCACATCTGAATGTGTCCCAAGGGCTTTGTCAGATTCTTGAGATAATGATCCACCTCCAGATTCAGAGCGTGCAATTAGACCCAGTTTTATAGCATGAGCATGTGATTTCTTGTGCTTGTACAGGTTGCTCTTGGTTTTGAATGAGAAACCACAAGTAACACAGGGATATGGTCTTTCTCCTGTGTGAGACCTGATGTGTTTGAGCAGCACACTGGGTTTTGCACATGCCCTTTTGCAGTATTCACACACGTATTTTCCTGGCTTTTTAGGCTTTTGGTCCTTGGAAACTTGCTCAGCACCAAAGTTCATGACAGTGGCCATCTGAACATGGTTGCTGCCAGGTGTAACTGGGACCTGAATGGTGCTGGGAACACTTGCAGAGATGGATTGGCATGTGTGCACAACAGGTGGTTGGCTTTGTGGCAAAGCGTTGGAGCCTGAGGGTACAGGTGCATGAGTTATGGCGGGTGGTCCAGAATTGAAGCTCATGTGCACGGCAGGCTTTTCAGGATTCGAAGATACATGCATAAATTGTGGTGAAACCAGTGGGGACGACTGCATTGGTGTACCCTGTGTGGATGTCTGCACATTCCTCTGCAGTGGTGCTGCAATGCCAATAAAGTTCCCTTGTTTGTCAATATAATAAGTCTGCATATGAGAGGTTTGGGTCTGGAGACCAACATTGACAGCTGGCATTGCATTTAATTCACTGCTCGATTGAGCATGAAGGCTGGAAGCTGGTTTTCCAATGGCTGTGACTTGCAAGGCATATTTCCTCTCAGCCAGCGAACTGAAGTCAGGCTCCATGGCCTTAAGAAGAACATCAAGTGGAGCACTGCTGTGGTAAGGGTCTCCCTCAAAGCTGGGATCTTCGCTCTTGATGTCTTCGGGCTGAGACACCTTGGCAGTAATCAGAGAACCTTCCTCGACATCAGTGGTCTCTAGCGATGGTGGCCTCGGAGATGTTTCTTCCTGCTTCAGCCTTTCAGCATCAGTTGAAGATGACCCCTCACCAGGGGATGCTGCAACTGGTGAGCCATCATGTGGGTCTCTTACACCCCCGGGTGATGTCAAAGGATTGTGGGAAGGACTGTTTGAGGAGGAGGAGCAAGAAGGTGTAGTTTCCTTCGATGAATCTCCGTGAAGCACAGTTTCAGATGTTTTCGACTGCAGGGGCTTCTTCACCGGAGATTTAGGAATTTTCTTGAGCTGATTCTCTGCAACAACCTTTTTCCTCTTCAGGCCTTTGATGCTATCTGCATTTCTGCGGCTGCTTTCAGATATCCCTGTGGAGAAAGACACTACTATGAGAAAAGCCGAATGACACCATCTTTTTACAAACACTCGACCATACGTGCAGAATGACCACATACATCCCCGATGAGAAAATAAATTATATTTCCTCTGCTGAACGATTGCATTTTCTCTTTGGAATATTACACTTGCGTCACTAAAATGAAAGTTTAGTTAAGAGGTCAGATAATCTTCTCATGTTTTATTTGATTTAACGATCAGCAGTTTCAGGCATTTGGTTTCAGTTTGGTGCATATTTCCAATTTTGTAAGACAGTGGATAAGAGAGTTATATAACTGTCATTTAAACACTAGTGTTTAAATATATTTTCGTTCCTAGTTTGCATCAACAGTTTAGAACATAATAGGATTTACTGTGTTTGCAAGACATGCATGGTCGAGACTTGTTTTAGCTGCAAGAAGCATCACCATCACTACCATCTGACATCAGACAGATCCATTTTATTAGAGGTGCATGGTGGTATGGGTTCAGTAATTTAATATGGCACCCAAAAATTAAAACACTTTCAAAAGAAAAAAATTGTCTCCACCCCTGATTTAGACACTTTGTCCTCCAGTTTATTTTATTTCCTGTGTGACTATCGGCGCCACCCACGCTTCATTAACTAAACAAGTGAATGATTTATTTCTTCTCAGATATGTTGACCCCTGGAGGCTTGGCTGATCAGAGGATGTATGAAACAAACGTGTCTCACAGTTATGAGAACTGAATGTTCATGTCTTCAAAACTGCATTCCAGTTATAATACAGTTCTGCTTTCAAACAGGCGCACCCATACCATGGTGTTCCATAATGACTCAGGCCAGTGGTTTTAAAGGACAGGTTGCATAATGCTGGCTGTGCCCTGTCACAGTTTCCTGGCTTGTGAAGGTATTTCCCAAGATGAGGTCAGGGTTCCTTCACAACTCTGACCTCATCTCGTCTTTACATAGGTTAATCCTTTCACCTCGTTGACATGCAACCAGTGATCCTTCAGAGCTGCACACAACCAATGCAACGTGTTCTCTAAACAAACCCTCAGATTTTCTAAAATAACCCGCTGCTCTAATGAGACGTTGAAAGACATGGGAAAATGATTTGTTCTTCCAACCCACCGCTCGGACAAATCTGCAAAAAACATTCCATGACTTCACAAGTCTTCCATCATGAAAACTGCTTTATAAACAAACAACATTTTTCAATCTCTTTCTTTATTGTTAGAAAATTCTGCTTCGGCTATTTTCTAGATAAAATAAGATAATTTTCACACATTTTAAATTCCATACTTTCCATCTGTATTTCTTTATATATTACATAACATATGAATATGTGATTTAAGAACTAAAGATCATTCCTCTGTGATCTCGTGAAACTCCTCCTAACAGAATTAACTTCTTTTTAAAAAGGTGGTTGTCACGGGGATTAACCTTGACTAACAAGCCGGGACACGAAGGCCTTTAAAAGTACTTTGAGATATTTTTAATTGTACTGTGTTTCCATGTAATGTCTCCACCCAGTCTCATTTACAATGGTTGAAGCTGGGTGGTATTTAAAAGGACAATAATCTCAGGCACAGTTTGAACAGACACAGAGAAGCAATCTCAGTTCAACCAAACTTGATTTTCCATTTAAATAAAGTTACACAACATGTATCAAAATAAGATTCCTATCATACGTGTAAGAGGTTTTTACTCTGGTGATACTGCACAACAGTTTTGTATGTTTAACAAATTAAAAACACTTTTATAAAACCACTGCTGTTGTAAAAGTGCAATCAGAGCTGCAGATGCAAAATAATATTTTACTGAAGCAGAAAAAAGTAATGGGGATATTTGCTGCAAAAACCCAAATGCTGCACAGGAACTGTTAATGTAACGATAGTGAAATAAATATTACTGTTAGCTCCACTTGTCTGTAAATACAGCATAACTTAAAGCAGAGTTTCTGAATTAAAGAATATTGCCGGGACAACTTTGAAATGTTTTACTTTGTTATTGGAAATTTTTTCAAATAAACTTAAAATCGCAGATTGAATGTTTGTTGAGACAATAACAAAAATCACTTTATAATCAAAAACACTGTATTAAATCAGTTTTACATTGAATCATTCATTCATCTAAAACTACCACGTGATAAATGAGCAATGACCAAAATAGTTTTTTACAAATTTGTAAGAAAGAAAAAAGTGAAAGAAACAAACCTATATATATATATTTTTTTTTTTTAAATCTTACTTAAACTCCTTCCATTAAATCCAGAGTCCAGAAACTGATCTCTTACCTTTCTGTGAGCCTTTGGGCTCTTTCAGCTCTTTCTGTGCCTCTTCGATTTTATCTGAAAGACAAGAACAGAAAACATTTTAAATGGCGCTGCACAGAAACACACATGCAGACACACTCCATCTCCACAGCGAAGCCAGTGCACAACGTAACTAATGATACTGGGGATGCTTCCCACACAGCTGCAGCAGCATGAAGCTCCTCCAAATGAGAAACAGATATTCTTCCACAGCCCAGAGAGGGAACTGTTCCAGTGTGGAAACTAGTGTAATCATGAAGGATGAGGACTGTGTGTGTGTGTGTGTGTGCGCACAATAACACAACCATACAAGCACACCCCGCTTCTAAAAACACCAGCACGAGCACGTATGATGTGCAGGTTAAGTTTGCAAACAGGTCAATATGGTGCATTTATTCTCATTATCACAGCGAGATCTAACCCGCAGATTGATTTACATATTCAAATGCTCTTTGCACCCCTGGGGGAAGAGAGAGTCGCTCCTCTGCGACTCTCTCTACGTCACAATCATCACCCACAATCCAGCAGGTGAGGAACCTGTTTCTGTACCAACCATATGGACGTGTGGGAGGCGGCACAGAGCTGACTGCGTGTTACTGTAATCAATCTTAATTATATACGCTGGCTCAATGTGGTGTGAATGGGTTACACACAGAGGGATGGAGGGAGAAAGAGAGGAGGCAAGACAAGCGCAGTTTTTGTGGGAGGAAGCATCGTTAATGTGTAATTACATCTCCATTACTTCTGTTTTTTTAAAGAATCAATCAGTCGATCAGATAAAATCTAAAACGACAGGTTTATGAAAAATGATAATAGAAAAATTTCAAATGTAAACTCTCAACTAACTGTTTGTTTTTTCTTTTAGTTTGAGGAAATCTATTCTTTTTCATTCTTCACATTTTCCTTTTCACTTTCTATTATGTGAAATATTTTCTGGCCATGTTCAACACAAGACATTTTGGTTTTCACCCCCACCAAGGAGGTTTACGTTTGTTTGTCTGTTTCACAAAAAACTACTGAACCGAGTTCCATAAAATGTTGTGGCATTACTCAAGAAAAACCCAGATAGTTTTGGAGCGGATCCAGATAAACGGGCGGATCCAGGAAATTGTTGTCACCTTCATAAGAATGGCGAGATAGGGCGTTAGCTGTGGCGGAGGTATGCTCTCATTGTACTGGACCAGTTCTTCATTTTACAGCTGTATTTTAGAGTTTGATTCTAATCACAGGAAAAGAGACAAAGTTCTGAGTTTGTTTCTTCAGAAATTTGTGTTGAGTTTATTTGTGACTTCCAGGTTATTTAGTTATTAGTTAAGCATCCATGTGCTAAGTTTTCATCCATTTTACCCGTCTATTTGTTTTTATCCCCTTTTATTGATTCTTTCATTGTTACAACATCTTTTAAAATCTATTTTATTGTCAGCATTTCTATTTCTATTCAATTCTTTTTCACTTATCTGTAAAGTTCTATTGATTCATTGATTATCTATAATTTAAAATAAACTACTTTTTGTAGTTTTCTGTACGAGCGCTCACCCGCACAGAAAAATGAGGAATATGTCTGGCAGCCGCATGTTTCTGCCTCCTTCTTATGACCATGGAAACAAGATGGAAAAACACGTTGTGGCTTTCGTGCCCTGCACATGACTTTGGAGTCCTCGAGGACCAGCGGTAACAATTTTGTCCTAGATTGCAGAAATGTTAATCGAGGGTGAAAGAGGATGTTCCTCTGCGGTTCCCAAAATTAGAGAGTGATGCCGGGAATACTCGAGGAGGGGGGCGGACACAAGGGGGGGGGGGCAGAGGAGGTCACTAGTTTATGTCATCATCATCTGTGTGCGTGTTACTGTCACACCCTTCTCCCTCCCTCTCTCTCTCTCCCTATATATCCCTGTCACACGCCACAGATTACATAATGTGTCCACACCCCTGCGCTGCCGTGGAGCAAAACAAAGGCACCCTGCCAGCAGAAACACAGCAGCCCCGCACATGTGGAGCGGGCAGGTGTTTGTTTATGTGCAGGTCTTTGACAGAGAGGGAACGGGGAGATGTGTGCACGTAAACGACCACGTGAGCTCCCTCGAGGAAACACGTCGGCCGTGTTTTCCTGGCAAAAACACTGGCACGGTGTTCCTCCGAACGGAGAGGATCCCGAAGCTTCCCCTCAGAGTCACGATCACCGCGGCTCAAACTCGAGTCCACGTCTCCGAAACAAAACCAATTTGAGGTAATAAACGCTTGTTTTTGCGCGGTGAGAAGATTTGGATGCAGATTTTCCCGAACATGTGCTTCAGTGTTTGCACAGCTTGATACATATGTCTTGTATTAGACCGCGCTGGCAAACCGAGCCATGAGTGATTACTGCCCAGCAAAAATCATATTAGTGGTTGCGTATGGTTGGAGAGGAGAGTGTAAGCTATTACAGATCAGATTGCCCCTCTTATATAACAAGCCGCAAACAAGACCCCTCGTGCTGAATGACACCCATGAAGGCGAGTTCTGGAGCGTGGAAAAAGACCAGGAAACACCAGCCCAGATGAGTGGAAAAGGACAAGGTGGCGTTACCCTCAAAAAGGACAAAAATATATATATTCCGTCTTCGGTGCCTGAGTTATTAAGACAGCCGGGAGTGATTACAGGCTCGATCATATTTCCCTCATTATGGATGTTGGGGTGGCCGCTGTGGTCGAGGGGGACGGCCACATGCTCAAGACATTCATCACGCCACAAGAAATCTGTGTAACTGTCCTGTAACCACGGGAAAACAATACAAAGGAATGTACACAAATGCTGCAAGTTGCCGGTGATGAAAACCAGAGCGCGTTGGGGAACATGACCATGAACATCGAGGGCGGGGAAAGAGAAAACAGATGAACTCATGAGGCTGCGGTTATAACCAAAGTGTTTGCAGAGAAAACTCATCATTTGTAGGACGTTCAAAGTCCTAACGAAGATTGTGCGCTGTTCAAACTGCAGACGAGTCACAGAGGGAAAGACAAAAACAGACCAAGACTCTGAAAAGCACATTTGGGCGACTTGATAAAAGGAGACATTTGATGTCTTTTCAGTGTTGATAAGGTTTTTGTGAATGTTAAAAAAAAACGTTCAGAAGCACATCGTCTGTGGTAAAGAGACAAAACATAAACACTGGGGGGGGGGGGCTGTCAAATTCAAAATTGTTAAGAAGCATCATCTGGTCCAGCAGAGGGCGCTCATTGCTTTTCTGGTCAAATTTGTTCAAGATTCATTTTTGTAAAAAGTGACAGCCCCACTGCAAACGTAGACGGATATGTCCCCTGACAAAACCTGGTAACGCAAGAACGGAAGCCGACATTTCTTACATTCGCTAGAAGTGGTCGACAAATCACAACAGAGCTGGCTTTATCCGGAGGAGGGGCCTTAAAGAGACAGGAGCTAAATCCAAGTTTTTCAGACAGAGGCTGAAAAGAGGAGCTGCAGCGATGGACAGTCTGAGACAAGTGTGTGTATGTGCAGCATCTGACTGTCTTTAATAATTTAGTGAAATGTGAATCAATACACTTTGCTAATGTTACTTAAACATGCGGTTCTTCTATTACACTTTACTCAAAGCACAATTATCGACTTGACGGCCCCCCCAACACACCATCGCTTCATAACAGTCCTTCAAACGCGGCTCTGTGACGAGAGGACGACAGTGAAATGCAGGTGGAGGCTCGTCCTCGGTCTCAAGGTTTCCAACTCGTGATCTCTGATCTATGCAACGTGATACTTAAAGACACACTAGCTACCGGGCTGGGGGGGGGGCCAGAGTGTGAGGGTGCATGTTGATCAAGTGGGAGTTTGTGGGCGAAGGAGTGGAGACTCCCTCGCTGTCATGACAACGCCCCCCCACTCACCCCCCTCTCTCTGCTCCATCGTGGTTGAGTGGGAAATGTGATTACTTGTGCCCCCCCCCACCCAAGGGCCACAGTGACGTCCGAGTGCAGGAAACGTGTTTTTGGATCCAACACCCACCTGACGTGAGCTTGCAACAAATCAGCTGCAGCCGGGGGGTGGGGGTGCGAGGTGAAGCCCGCCCCAGCCGCATTCAAGCGGTGAAGGTTAATAATCAGGAAAGAGCTGCGGATCCAAACACACACTGATGAGCTGCGGCACCAACACGCTTCTGGAAAATGGATCTAATAAAAAAAACTTGTGTGGAAGTGGAACTCTGCCTGTTCAATAAATAACAATATTACATCACAGCAAAGTGGCAGCTTCATCCCACAACTGCATCCCCCTGCTACTGGATCCCCCCCCCCCGAACGCCCCCTCTGCCTGTTGGCCAACAAATAACCACCAGGCTCCGCACCCCCGCCTCCCTCCGCCACCAGCTTGTGACACGTTCATGTTTTGCTCGACAGGCTGCCCTGCTGGGCCTCACACACGCCAAATGGTGGCCATAGTGGCAGCTTTTAGTGGCAGCCATATGCACGGCGGTCACATGTTCTCCGGCGGCTTAGCTTCAGCTTTTCCATGGAAGATGTGCATTTCACAGAAAAGCTGCGAGCGACGAGGTGTCATCATCAGTATGCGCCGCACCACGCCGGCA